GTGTATAGATAAAAGTCAATATATTGAAAGTTCAGTACTCTAGCTAAAACTGTTGAATGTTCTTTGATTTGATTTCATTAAAATTTGATTTGATTGATCGAAATTCGTATTATATTTTGTTGCTTTTAGTTTCGGTATGCTTCAAAGTTTTTGACACTCCTGCAAACACAATTAGAACAACAACGCGTTAAGCACAAGCAACGGTAAAAAATGGCACAACTTTCATTCCGCACGTTTCGGCACCTTAACAAAAACAACAAAAAATGTTAACAACAACAATAACAGCAGCAGCAGCAGAATCAGCAGCAAAAGCAACAACAGAGGGAACAGCGGCAGCGCCAGCAGGAAGGCATACGTACATACACATATACGCATACACACACAGATAGAAGTGCAGCCGCTCTCACGAGCCGAAAAGTAGGCAATATTGAAAGTTGCGCGCGTTTTTTCGTTGTTGTATCGCAACAGTATTTGCCTTTGCGCTGCTGTGGGAGAGCGGCAATTTGATAGAGCGGGGGAGTATGACAGGGGTTGGTGGACGGTGCAAACAGGTAGGGAGAGGCAGAGAAAGAGTAAGAGTGAGTGAGAGAGGAGAGTTGTAAGTTGTGAGCTTGTGAGCTTGGTGCCATTCTTGTGCGCTGCCGCTTCGGCTTTTACGCCGAGTGCCGAACTGCGCTGCTTTGCCTCCTGTTGCTGTTGATGTGGCTGAAGCCGCTTCTGCCGCTGCTGCTCTGCCGCTGCGCTGCCCTGCCTCAATTTTCAAACGAACTGTTTCGGCGTACGTTCAGCCGCAAACTGAGCCAGCGAGCGTCGAACGGCAGCAATTTAAACACCGCGACCCGAACATGGCGACTCCAAGCTTTTCGTATATCTGCTAGTCGTTAGCAAAGTCGCAGAGCTTCAAAAAAAGCTCTCGGCCACTGCATTCTGCCCGACGCACGACGCCGACGACGCCGACGCCGACGACGCTACTTCTGCTACTGCTACGACTACTGCTACTGCTGCTGCTGCTGCTCTGCTATCGCTGCTGCTGCCTCTGTTAGATCAAATTATTGCAGCAGCAGCATTACGAATGACATATACCGACCAATGGGAGGCCACGAAGCTGACGAATGCCGACTTCGTGTCTTCCATTACGGATCGCAGCTAATATAAAAGTGCAGCGATGCAACTTCGGAAGTCGCTGCCGCTGTCGCCTGCCAACGCATATTCGATGTCATTCGCGTGTGTGCGTGATTGTGGATGATGCTTACCTGAAAGATATTCGAAAAGAGAAAAATATATTTATATACACATATACAAATACACAAATAAATAGCCATTATGACAGCAAATATATTTTTTTGGTATTGAATAATTTAATTGAACTTATAGAACTTTAGAGTAAATGGCTTCAAAAAGAAGCTTAAATAGGCATGCTCCTTGAGGGAGTGTCAAACTAGAAATATAGGAAACACTTTTACACGTTTTTTACATATACTATTAAAATTTGTAAACTTGGCAAAGTGTTGAACCATTCATTTGTTAAAGCATTTGCAAAAATCCTTATAAATTTTTCTGACTGCAGCGAATCAAATTCTATCAAAATATCATTAAATATTAGAGACTAAAATATTGAAAAGTTGGTTTTTCAGCTAAAAAAAAAAAAAAAAAAAAAAAAAAAAAAAAAAAAAAAAACTTCAACTGATTTTCACTAAACGGGAATTTTAAAAATATAGAAGAAGACAGAATTCTCTCCCACCAGCCAGATATTACAGGTGAATTTACTTATTGATAATTTAAAAAACATAAAATAATTAATATCAACTTATTTTCGTTTACTTAGTAATATCTAGAAATATATGAAACTTCGAATGATTTTAGTTTTGGCTACAAAATAGGAAAAAAAAATCCATTGAATAGCTGAATTCAAGTGCAGCGAACGGAACTTATTTAACTTTTTATACCCTGAACCCATTGAAAATGGGAAATCAGGGTATAATGGTTTTGTGAAAAGTATGTAATAGGCAGAACCCATAAAGTATATATGTTCTTAATCAGCACGACGAGCTGATTCGATATAGCCCTGTCCGTCTGTCCGTCCGCCCGTCCATATGAACGCGTAAATCTCAGAAGTTATAAGAGCTAGACAGCTGATATTTGGTATGTATACTAGTGTATACCATACGTAGTACAAGTTATTTTAGACCTGGGGACTTCAGATTTACTGTGTATATACTGTGTATATACAAGCACAGTCGCTGCTAACTGCGCACTTAGCATACATACATACATACACATATGTGTATGTGTGTGTGCATAAAAAAAGTGCAGAATGGAGGGTTCAAGGTATCTCCTAGTCGAGCAGTCTCGACAAGAGTCTTCTTACTTGTTTTTTTAGGTAAGGAAAAATTCATATTCGATGCAAAATACATATATGAAAAACTTTTTAAAAACTGCAAAAACCAAACTTTGTGATGAACACGTCATTTCGTATTAACTTTCCGATATTTAAAAAGTTTAACTTTATATATTTATAAATATTTGCTAATATACATTTTTTCTAGCTATGCCAAAATTAAAATGTTGAGAATATTATAATACATATATGAATATATTTTGTTTAAAAATAGAACGAGATTCGCTAAAATATATATATATATCTTTTTTTTCATTTTCTTATTCGGACAATCATCAAATTGCTGACAAACAGGACAAATTCAGCAGCGACGCAATTGCAGCCGGGGATATTTCGAGACAAAATCTATTTTTATCCCCCCACATAGTTACTTATTTACAATTTTTGTTTTTTTTTTTTTTTTTTCTTTTTTTTATCCACCCACATAGTTACTTATTTACAATTGTTGTTTTTTTTTTTTTGTTATTTTTTTTAATTAATGTTTATATTTTTTTTATTGACTTAGAATAAACAATTTTTTTTTGTCACTAAAAGAAATGTATTAATATTTGCGGTTTCTTATTTACCTAAGAATAGGTGGAGTTGCACTTAAAAAAAAAAAAAAAAAAAAAAAAAAAAAAAAAACTTGTGTTGCACTTGTAACTTGTTTGCACAAAAATAAACAGCAAAAGTAAAAATTACGCGTCCGGTCAGGAGACCGAACGCCTAGAGGAGGAAACTTAATTTGAAATCGCCACTCGGCCAGTGATTGGCGTCATTGGCAGAGCTAATGCAGTTGCCGCTGCGCCAGCGAAAGCGCATCTGCCGAAACTCTCTCCGGCTCTCTCACACTCACAGGAATTGCACGGTGGTGGCCGAAAAGCTAAAAGGCGAGAGAGGAAAGACGGCGCAGGCGCGACGGGATATAATCATTGGGCGGGAGCTTTGGGAAGCTTTGAATGTATTTGAATTCAAAAACAATTCAAAATTTGACTAATATCGCCCACACTTGCCTTTCGCTCTTACCTTTGAGCTGCAGGTGGGAGTGAAATGGCAGCAACAGCGGCCAATAACAATGCACCCCTGGCACACCCACACACACTTAAACAGCCGCCTACGCAGCGTCAGCTTGTCTCTCGTTCCCTCTCCTTCTCTCGCTTTGCATTTACATGCAGAGCATGTAACAGGTGGAATGGCAACAACAATACTGTGCCTATTGCATAGCATTTTGCATATGTATGCCTGTAGTTCTGTGGGATAGCGTAGATGAGAGTCAAACTGCAACACTAATGCAATCGCCAGGCACAAACATGCATACATGTAAATTCAGACGCACGCTCTCTCCTTGTCCCTCCACATGTGCTATTAGCGTAACAGGCACATACATATGTACATACATATATATATATATATATATATATATATACATATACATATATATATATAACTCTGTCCAGCGGCTATATCCAGTGCACCAAAGGAATCCTATTGTCGCAGTCGCCGCCTCAATTAGGTTCCACCTCCTCATGGACAGCGTTTCTAATAAGTAGATCGACGTCATGTCCCATTATACATACATAGTACATATAAATGTCAATTATTTGGCTTAATTCAACACAAGCTGAAGTTGTGATTTTTGCCGTCGCCATTTTGCTTGCCATTCACAGCGATCAAAGACAATTAACATGCGGCGAATTCGCATGCACGGGTCTGCTTTGGTGTTTGCACACTCAGACACATACATATGTATGTATGTACCATGCGTGCATGCATGTATGTACTTATAAATTAGCATAAGCTACCAATGAAATTCGCTTGGTTTAGTTTTCCATTGAACATGGCTTAAGCGATGCACGCTCATTTATTTTTATCTCAGCGGGTCTTCTGAGTGCGGCGAATTCGCTTACTTACACTTGCATACATACATATATGTACATATATCTATGTTATGCTATGTCTAACTACATACATATTATCTGTTATTTATGACTTAATCTACTGTCAATGGAATTCGATGCTTTTTCTATCGTTTCATTTCTCCCATTTCATTTTTGACAGCCTACGAGTTCCTTTTTCCAGACTTCGTTCTTTCCACTTGAAAAGTCGGAGCGTTCAGATCAGTGTCTAAGTTATTTTCAATTTTCTTAACAATTGTTTTATTTGTATTAATATATAATATAAATAGGTAAGTATTACATTATAAATTTGGTTTCTTAAGTGATTATTCGTTATTCGCAATTCGCTGCGCTCACCGCAGACAACGAAGGAGTCTTGCCAGTCAAAGCCACGGCAAGACATTTGTGCAAATTTTTTCTGCCAATGGCAGACATATTTTTTCTTGCTTCGGAATTTTAAGTGGACCTTTTTGCTTAGCTTTTCTTTTTAATTTTCTCAATAAGTATATTTTGTGCAGTTGCTAAAGCTAGTTTTTCATGTTTTTTCTTTTCTTTTCTTCGTTTTTTCATGCGCTTAAAACTAAAGCAAAGTCATTATATATGTATATGTGTGCATGTTTGTGTGTGTGTGTGTACTTAAATGGCATTTGAAAGTTAAAAAAAAAAGAGGGTGAACGTTTAATCGTAAAATGAGACAATCACACTTGGCCGGCTGCACAATACTCGGCTTGTTTTTTTTTTAACATAGTTGAGGTTAAGTTTTACATTAATTACATTATCGACATTGCAAATATTAATTATTCTTGATTAAGTATACATTCACGTCTTATTTTGAAAGCTACTCTGCTTTATAATTAAGTAATACAAAATTTTATAATTTTTGGTTTCATCAGATTACATACATATAGGGGTCCTCTTGAACAATTAGATTTAGAAAAACCTCCTGCTTGCCTCCCGCTTGCGAAATATTCTGTTTTACAGATAATATTCATACATGACTGATAATAGCAAATGCCCAATTGGCTTTACAATCATTTGCATGTACATGTACAGAGAACGGCTTATACACTAGCATCTAATAGCGGATCGACTGACCACGCCTTACATTAGGTATACGTATGTTAAGGGAATATATGTGAGGGGTGCACATAAAGCTAGTTTTCGCGTCAACGGATAGGCAAACGGGGTATGCGGGCAGCTGAGCTCAGCTTAGAACATGCCATCGGATCTGGCGACCGGAACAAGTACAATCAGAAAAATGACCAGATTACGCATGACCAAGCGCCAATCGTTGGGCACGGCATATGGCAGCAGGATCTGTGTGAGGCGATGCACCTCGTGCGAGGCACAAACGAATATGAACGATGTGATGATCATGTTGAGAGTGGGAAAACCGGGCAGTAGCACCAGGACGCCATGCCTATCGGCCGCTAGCCAGATGTGATATTGGCACACGAACAGCTCGAGTGAGATGCGCCCGAACCAGGCGAAGAATGTGGAATAGCGTGTCCGTAGGATGCCCGAGATATTGCGTAGCACAACATAGCTGATAATTGGTATGAACAGGATGTACGAGTGTATCTCCTCGCAGTTCTGAACGTTGCGGCACAGAAACGAGAAGGACGTGTAGATGCCGACGCCCAGAAGTGCGAGCAGTGTCACCGATATCGAGGTCCGCCGGGAAAACAGGTTTCCATGATTATTATCGTCGAAGATGCTGTATTTCTGGGCGATGTGAAAGCAGGCGGCATATATCATGCCGAAGGTTACAGTGTAACGATCCAATTTCCACTGGTACCACCACTCATGGATGTCATCGTCGGTAGTCACAAACAACGCCTTCCACGGACGCGTCACGAAGATCCGCTCGAAGAAAACTTCAGACATGAAGAGGACCGTTATAACGCCCAGGCATCCAATACACTTGCATACCAGGTAGAGGTAATGCAAGGGATACGCATCGACCGAGGCTGTCGTAATCCGCGGCGGCAGGGATAATACGAAGTAAATGACGCAAACCCAGAAGGAAAGCAGAGGCACGAAATAATAGAACTGATATGGACGGTTCATGCAGAAGCAGAGCAGAACGCAGAGGAAATTGAGGCGAAACATCTCCTGGAAGAAGCGCACAAACATCGAGCCGCAGCCGCCCGTTTGCCAAATGTCCGTGAAGTGCGTATAGCCTGTTAGAAAGAAGTAGCCAGATATTAGGAGCTTGATGTGCATGTGAATCGGTAGAACCCGTTGGGCCCCAGTCATATAATAGATGAGCACCACCAGCAATATCCAGCCGCGCAGCTCGTCCGTCTGATGGCGATTCAGGACTTTGGTGAAGCCCGACTCCTCGGTGAAGAATAGACCCAAGGCGAACACGTAGGCCACGGGTATCCAGAAGCTGAATTCCGAGTAGTATTTGTTCTCTTTCATAAAGAAGTTCGTCCGATCGCATAGATAGAAGTAGGCGAGTATTAGGCCCAACAGGGATAGCGCTACTAGCGGCGTGCCGTAGTCGCTGATGAGCACTGTCAGGCAGTGCGAGGGATCTCTGTGATGGCTTGTAGCACCCCTCAGGTGACTGTCCGCCTGCTGCTGCTGTTGCTGCTGCTGGTGGTGCTGCTGCAGCGGCGCGTAGAGCGTGTTACCCCGCAGATACAGCAGCCAGCGGCGCAGGCACATGCCACAGACGAGCACAATGCATACGCCAAATAGAGCATAGGCGACTATCTGCAGGCTCGTGTGTGGCTCGGCGCTGCTGCAGCAGGTGCCGTCGTTGTAGTTCATCTGGTCGTTGCAGTACATGTTCCACAGCAGCTGCACCTCCAGCCGTTGGCCGTGCGCACTCAGACGATGTCCCTCGACGGCAGTGTCCAGTAGGCCGTTGGCTATGTGCCACGCCGATTCCCAGACACTTGCGTCCGTATACCGAAAGACGTTTCGCGCCACATTGTTCAGGCGGTCGATGTCCTCGTTGAGCACTAGCTTCCACGACGCGGGCAGCTTCTCCTCGTCCACGCGCTCCGCTAGCTTCCACAGCACACGCGACGCTTGCGCCACCAGACGGTGAATCGGTGCTACGAGCAGCGTTAGATTTACGCTGTACTGATGCAACAGTTCCTCCGTGACGTTCCCTGCCAACAGTTGGCTGTAGGTCAGGCCCAGCACATAGACGGAGGAGCGCTTCTTCTCCATTTCCAGCTGATAGAGCCGATCGATCAGTGCCGGGCTCACCTCCTCGGCGTGTATATATTGCGCCAGCATACCCAGCTTCTTATCCTCGAAATGTATTCCATTGGAGGAGGTGGAGCCGTTGTTGTCGTATTCATTGGATCGTGGCAGCTGCAGCTGCTCCACAAATCTCTGATACAGCAGACGCACGCTTTGATCTCCAATAAAGACGAAATTGTTCGTGTAGTTGAAAAACGCGAAATAGCGCAAGCAACGTCGCGTGTCACTATAAAAAATGAGATAATTAAATATGGAGCGATAAGAATTAGCCAGTTGGTGAATCAGAAATTAGGGCGGGGAAACCAAGAACTACAAGCGGGTATGCATGGCACATCAATCATATTTGAATACCCTTTTTAAGCTCAGTTATGATAAGGCAAATTTATCCAATCGATAATTATCGATGTCAAACATTTACCAAGTTCAATGATCTGATTTAATATGATATTACAGCTTTGCTCAATATATTGGAGAATCTGAGAGAACGGAAACATAAACGGAGAGCAGGACAGCTACAGGGTATCGAGGGGTATGAACTCACATGTAGGTGTATTTGTGCATCATGCAACCATAGGGCTGCCATTCGTTGTCGCCTTTGAAGCGACCCTTGGACAACAGCCACTGGCAGGAGTCGCTGCCTGGAAGATACGAAATAAAACTGTATTCGAATGATTCCGATAGGCCAAAGCGAATCGATAGCGCACCATAGTTCCAGTTGAGCAGGCCATGGTAGAGCACAAAGCCAAGGACCAGTAGTAGTGCCACCTTCTTCGCATTTGTTGCATTTAGCTGTTCCATGAACAGATCTGCTTTGGTTGGCATACGCTGGACGCCGCCTTCCGCAGAGCTTCCAATACAAATGCCGCCCAGTTCACCGCTGTTAACGGCGGCGGCGGCGGTGCGCAGTTCACGCAGCTCCATGATAACCAAGTGCAGTCACTGCGCTATCAAGCCGTCCAATTTCGCAGTCTTTGGCAGTGCTTTAGCTTTTACCTAGTGTCCATTTGCATTCTGTTTGACCCAATTTTTGCTCTTTTTGTATCGTCTGACCCGTTGCACAAACGCTTTTCACAGCGCAGTATCGCGGTTTTTGCCTTTGCGTTACGGCCGATAGGCGACGGCCCTTTTCTTATTGCCAATAATCGCCTGCCGCCACCCATAACTCAGCTGTTTGCCGTTTATATGTATCGATATAAATATATTGCTCAAACTTTGACGTTCTTGCTGTGCAAATAACGCAATTACAGACTAGACTTTGATTGTACTAAAGTTAAAGAAAACTTAATAAAATCATCTTAGTTTATATGTTTTGACCAAAACTACAGCTGACCGATAGGTTTTCCTGTGGCAAAAAATCGCTTGCCGCCACCCGCCAGACACTGCACAGCTGTTTGCTGCTTAAATGCACGACGTCACAATCGTGCAGTTAACGGAATTGCGCAGCTAGCAATTTATGTATAAAAATTATCATGAATTGTATGTAAACATACTAGTTTCCGTGTATAGTAGAAAAATTTCCATTTATTCAGCTAGCAATCAATCCTTATTGGCTAAAAATTCAAGTTCCTCCACTCAGTGCAACCTCTTCTGTTTCGCATACCTGCGGCGAACACTTAAATGAACGCCAAATCTAAAGCGCCATCGCTGTGTTTAACCTCGTTGACGGTGCATGCATATTTTTGATAGTTCATATATGAGAACATTCACGTAGTTACCCTTTGATGGGAAATGTCAAAACAAGTAGGCGGTTGTGATTTTGTAAAATAGTTATTCATTTGATTTATGTGCGCTCACCTGGTGAGACTTGCTTTCGAATTGTATGCCTGCGGCGAATTCACGTGTTTATTATTGTTTTGACGATTGCATTCCAGAACGGCTTGAAAATGGAAGATTTGCGCGCTTTAAACAACTGCGAGCCGTTTAAACAGCTACGCACTGGACTTACCAACTATCATACATTTGTGAAGCCGTTGAATAGCTTCAACTATATTAGCGGTAAGTTCTCTTTTGCGAAATGAATTAGTGCAAAAACTCAAATGCCGCCGCTTCGCTTCCTTCCAGGCAATGATCAACAAATCAAGGATATAGCAGAAGTTGTGCTAAATGTGCTGCTGGAGCATGAACTGGTTATTGAGAACATATTCCTAGTTAAGGCTGAGGAGCATCTGGAGGTCAAAGTGAATCCTGCAGGTGACTTGGATCGTCTGCGCGGCATACTAATGTATTTGCTACTGAACACCGCCATGGGCAACCAGGAGAAGGAGTTGGAACTGGCCAAGTGGAACCCGCAGTTTGTGCACTTGCTCAAACAGTTGCCGGAGCCGCTGACGCAGGTTTTGACTGTGAGCATCGCTTTGCTCTGCGGCCTCCACGAGTTGCTCTTCGAGTTCCTCGCCTATGGGCCCGCCTGGCTCACATCTCAATACTTCGATGGTCTCAGCGGTGTCCTGAACCACTTTGTGGAGAATACGGTGGATAGGCTCTCGTACATTGCCGGCGCCCTGAACGCCGTCACTAACGCAATCTGCCATAAATATTCAATGCCGATCATCGATAACTCGATGGCGCTGCTCCAGCGTCACTTGCTATCTAGCGAAGATCGTCTGCGCAGCGCTCTGCCCACCAGCAGCGGCCGTAACCGTTATTTGGGCAAATCGATTTGCATGCTGCTCGATGTCATCGTCAAGATCTTGAATTGCCTGGAGAAGCCGCCACAGGCACCCGACTACGCGGCCATATATACAATGAACGCGTCGCCGGTGCAACCGGACAATGTTCCTCTGCCCTCGGCTCAGCAGCAGCTGGAGATCTTTGTCTGCAAACTAATGGACTCCGTCCAGCTGCTGTTGCAGTTGATCAGCGTGGACACCTATATGACCTGGCACGAGATGAAGTCCGATCACATTCTCTTCAACATGCAGGCCCAAGTGAGCAACAGGTGCCTGAAGGTCACCCAACTGCTGGCTTCTGGGCAGAATAAGTACGAGTCGCTCTTCAATCATTCGCTCAATTCTCAGCTCTCGAGCTTTGTGGGTGGCGCCCAGACCATCGAGCAGTGTCTGTCTGACCTCACCCTGGGCGAGCTGCTCAGCTTGCTGGACGGCGACTCGGGTGAAGTGACTGATGAGGAACTGTCTAAGGCGCTCGATGAGCTGCTGTCCCGTTCCATTTCGTTCGGCAGCGCTGAGTGTGTCCAGAGCATGATTACGCACAAGCGTCTAATGGGTACTAAGCATCTCTTGCTGATGATTGAACACTTGGGTCAAGTGGTGCAGCTGCGTAAAGCAGAGGCTGCAGAGATCGACGTCAACTTTCCTGCTGGCAATCAGGAAAATGGGCAGGCTGATAAAGATGCACAGCAGAAAACGGACACTCAGCATCCATTTGCAGACAGTGCAGCTACTGAGGAGGAGACGGAGCCATTGCTATCGGGTGAGAACGAAGATGAAACAGACGATAACTGCACGTCCAGTGAGGACGACGATGATTCATACCAGTATGACAATGAGATAGCGGATGTCAATGTGCCGTATACCGAGCTTATAAGCAGCCTAGTGGTACCCCTTTACAAGGACATTACAGACATCCAGGTGAAGATGGAAATACTGAATAAGCGCGAGGAGCTGAATCTGCTGGATCAGTTCGTATTCTACCAGCCAGATCATGTGCCACGCCGCATCTTCTTCTACAATCAGCTGACCTACTTAAAGGACCGCTTCCCAATCAATGAATTTCTGAATCTGTGCTTCGAGCAGCCCGAAGAGTCCTGGCTGGACTTCGCCCGTTTGGGCATGAAGCATAAGAAATTCTGTCTGCTCTACTTGGGTGTCATCAAGCGTTGTCTGCCCCACTCGCTGATCCTAATGGAATCGACTGTCAAGAGTCTGCTGTACGACACCCAGCTGATCACCCAACGCGCCAACACTCAGTATGCCTTGGCCTCGACAGAGATGCTGCTGTGTCTCTATCAGCAGCCCATCCTGTTGCAGAAGTTTGACACGCCTCTGCCAATGCTGATGCTGCAGCAGCATAAGCTGCCCTTCCGGCACAGTCAGGAGCGCTTCTTGGCTGACCTAGCCGGGGCCTTGTCCAAGTACTCAAAGAACAATAACTTCAACGCCGTGGAGAAGACAATGCTACTGCTGCTCCAGCTGGATTCTGTGGAGCGGCAGCTGATGAAGACCGCCAAGGATAGGGTGAGGACAAAGCACACCCACCTCAATAGATTGTTGCAATCCAAGGCAAGGACAAATTGCAATACCAAAAGCTACTCATCATCGATCATCGCAGTCGAGGTGCGCCGAGCGCGCTATCAGCTGCAGCTGGCCAAGGCCCATTTGATTCAGTACAACTCATTCCACAGATATAGAGTAACCAACTGGGACATCATCGCCCAGGTAGTCCTAACCATGGATCGGCTGAGAGAGAAGCCAGAGAACTTCCAGCTGAGGCGCATCGCAGCGCTCGACCAAACTATAAAGTATTACATACAATATGCGAGCCGCCTAATAACGAGCAACGAAGGTGAGTCCCTGTCATCTATAATATTATTATATTATTGACTGTATTCATATTGATGTCTTATGCCCTGCAGAGATGCGTGGGCGCTTGCGCCAGCTCATTGATCAGAAGGTAGAGCACAAACACTTGTGGCACAACGAGGAGTTGGACATGCTAAGGGATGTGAAGCGTTCGATTGCTGGATATACCAAGGTAAGCTAAAGCAATTACTAAGTACTACAAACATTATATATTATATTTAAATTGTTGTCCCTGCAGCTGATTAGCGTGGCATCGACTGTGGAGGCGATGCAGCTGCTGCGCAACGCGATTCGTCTTAGTCTCAGCTTGGCTGTGTTGAAGCGCTTCGCGGATCAGGTGGATACTATGGACTCAGACAGGGGCCAATATGCTTACAACTTTATATTCAAGTGCTACATGCAAGTGATCAGCTCTGAAATGATTCAGAAGGCCAACCCCAGCAGGTATCCGATGCTCATTGAGCACATTTTGCGTGCGCCAAAACTCGACAAGCCCGAAAATATGCGTGCCGCAATGCCGAATTTGAAAATTCTACTTCGTCCCTCTGGCCTTAGGAACCGAATACTCATACAGCGTTATGTCGCCGATACTCTAGCTGCAGCCAACCGCAACTGAAAGTTCTGCATCAAAAACTACAAAAATGTACACTTATTTTTTGTATAACGTAAAATTTTGCGTATCAACAAAAATTTAAACTAGAATTATGGCGCCATTGAACTCGTCGCCTAAGCAACAGGGCTGTTATCTTAACATATACACATATATATTTACGAGAAAAGGAATATACATACATAAAACATAATATGTAAACAGAAATATTTGTATACACATTAACATTATCATCATAATATCGATATTGGCGCCAATGAATTCGCCGCCAATATTTTGTCATCTAAAGAATCAAGGGAGCAGCTGTACGCTAGTCCAAAAAAAAGAAACAAATTTGATATGTATAACAAAAAAAAACGATGTGAACACAAATAAATAAAATACACTTGAATAAATATCAGAGTTTTAATTAGAAGCTGAAAAAGCTAATCAAATAGTTGAGCCACCGGTTAGATCTCTTATATTAAGTCTTCAAATCGTGGCGCCCATGAATTCGCCGTCGTACTGCCTTTCTTAAAAAGGGAAACATGGGATTCATCACGTATATACCGAAACACGAACAAGAAATATGAAAGACAATGTAAATAAAAATAGAAATGCATTGCTTCTTACAGAATGCCTTTTATTATTAATTTAAAATTTTATTATTTGTACCATTGCATTGGCTGCCAACTGATGTCGAAACAAAGGGCTGCAATGATGCGATAGAATCGTCACACGGGTTTTTATATCGATCTGGTAACTCCAATTACCGGCTGGTCTGGTACGCTATTTGGCTGACGCATGCGTCTAGCATACATGTATGACGGCGGTGACTGAATTTTTTTTGCATACGAAAATTTTGCTGCTGAAAAGTACGGAAGCAGAAGTGCGTGAATTAACGTAGTCAGTGAGGAAAGCCAAACATTTGTTAATCACATATTACACATTTAGCGGCTCGCGCGAATTGCAAACAACTCACGTTGATCGTCGGTTTTTTTTTCGCACGCAGCAGCCTCGTGTATTTAATTTTTTTTGCGCATACACTTACCGATATTTTTTGGTTGCACAGGCAGTCACACACTAACATATATATATATATACACAAATACAACCAAAGCAACGACGAAGACAAGAAGAGCGACGACGACGTGAAGCGCAGTGAAGAAGAAAAAAAACAAGCGAAATCGAAAGCAAAATTTGTCGATTTGAGTCGAGTCGAAACAAAACTCTTTCAAGTGTGCTAAGCTAAAAAAATAAGAATACAAATTAACATTCGAATTTGAATCTTGTAAAGTATTTCCAAAAATCGAAAAAGTATAGCGCAAATAAGACACATACACATAGAGAGGCCCATAGAAAACGTAAGTGGGCAAAAATGTAATCACAAGTAATTGCATTTATTTCATTATTGTTCGCCAGGAAGCAACAGCAGCAGCAGAAATTCCGAGGACGGACAGGAATCGGTAGCAACTATAAGTTATTATCAGCAGTAGCAGCCGCAGCAGAAGCAGCAGCACAACCACAAAATGAATAAAACGGCACAATTCGAAGCTCCGTTGACCATTGAGCCACCGCATGAGTTGCGTTTTGTTGGTAAGTGTATAATATGTATATTATATATTGAGTACGAATGTGAGTATGGCTGTTCTTGTGAATCGAATTGTACATCAGAAAAAGAAGCGGTAACGGCCGCAGCGACATGTACATGCATGGGTACGAGCGTGTGTTTAACTGCATTTATGCATTAGCATTTGGATTTTCCTTTTGCATTTGTTTTGTTTTGGACTTGACAAAGAGAAGGCCACTATCGTGTGTGTGGCGGCATATCGATCACTATTTGTTAAGACACCGATGGACAGTTGAATGCGTATTGTAAATATTGCCGCTGGTCAATTGCGGCGGTCGGGCGAGCAAACTGCAAAGTTCACACGCATACAAGCACGCGCGCGCACACACACACACACACTAATGCATGACTTACGCAGGGCCGCTTTGCCGACTGTTTTTCTCTCTCTTCTATTCACTTTGCACTGTACGTTTTTTTTTTTTCTACACAGCTTATCAATAATTTTGTTCTATTAGTTTTTCCTTTTTTTCTTATTCCACTTTTGTTTTTTGACATGTGTATTTTCGAGGGTACGTGTGTGCGGCTGTTTTGGCATGTTGCTGCCAGCAGCGGCAGCGGCAGCGGCCGTGGCGTCTTTTTCGTTTTGGAAATGCCGCCACTCGTCCTTCCTCTCTCGCTCTTGCACTCTCTTCGTCTTACACGCGTGCTCTCTCTCTCTCTCTCTCTCTGTCTCCCTTGAAACCTTTGCCGCTGTCTTTTGGCTAACATTTTATTTTTATACTCAACAGCTTTCATGAGCCATTTTTTTTTTGTTCTTTTCTTTTACTTTTTGAATTTTGGCCAAATGGTAACAACAACAATGCATATGACAGCACGCTTTGATTTGTGTTGCACAGTGGGCCGTAATGCAGTAAAAGCTAATCACAAATAACAATTGCCTCTCATGTTGACCACGTAGTTAGCCTTTGCTCACTGTACATTCATATGCCTACGTATGTGGTAGTGCATATTAACATATGTACATATGTATGTGTGTACATACATGCATACAGGCATGGTCGTCTGCCGTTAACTATTCCGCCAACGATCATCGGCGTCCGACTGCACACACACACACGCACACACACACTTGCATAAGCATACATACGTGGCCTATATAACATTCGTACGGCAGTTCTATTGAATGAATTTTCCTTCAAAAAAGAACAGATTCTGAATCGCCAAAAGAATGTTTTGATGTGCTTTGCTACGTGCGTGTGTTTGCATGCGCGCGCTTGTTTGTGTGTGTATATGTATGTTTGTGTGTGTTTTGCTTTTAATTCAATTAATTTGACATGAAGAGCCAAAAATGATGGCTCTAAAGTGCATGAACATAGAATACCCTATAAAAAGAGATGCGTATGCATATGCGGATGATGTCAGGTGCGAATCGTCTTATTGACAGGTAGATTATCGAGCTCTGCCTATATTCTACCTACATATCTATGTATGTATGTATGTATATATTATGTACACGGATTGGCTGAATAGGAATGCTAGGCCACAGCTCACATGAATGAACCCAGAGCCAAACAGCTGGTAATATAATCGAATAATATTTTATGCAAACAAAGCCAGCTTTGCGCGCAGCGAATATACCCAATTAGAATGACGCAATGGGGCAGAGCTTTAGCATTTATGCGAGTGGGCTTGTTACTGGGGAAACTCAAAAGGATATTTAAGCCAGACAAAGAGCGGATACGCGAAAGGGCAATGACACCCCGAGATCTTATCTAATAGTTAAACAAGTTAGAGTGGGACATTATTGGAAGCGAGAACGGGCGAGTAAAAGGAAAGTAAAACTACAACTAGCTACGGCGGGATCTGGGTTCAGAGTGAAGACAATTTTGAGAGGACAAATTCCTATTTATACATACATATTTACAATTCAGTTAGATAATAAAACACTTGCATATATACATACATACCTACATAAACATATACCACAATATATAATTTCTTGCTTTCTATTCTACAGGTCCTTTCAATCGACCAGTGGTGACAATCATGACCTTGAAAAACAATACGGTCAGGACACTGGTCTTCAAAATTAAGACCACCGCTCCGAAGCGCTATTGTGTACGTCCAAATATTGGGAAGATTGCGTCTTATCGTACGACGCAGGTGGAAAGTGAGTAGAGCGACGCGCCTGATAATCTAAATCTGATTCTATAATCTTGTTTTTTTCTGTTTTCTATAGTTTGCCTGCAGCCTTTTATGTATGATCAGCAGGAGAAGAACAAGCACAAGTTCATGGTGCAAAGCGTGCTGGCACCACCTGATGCCGATTTGACTGATTTATACAAGTTGGTAAGCAGCTGTAGTTCCTATCCATCAAAGAAGGGGACTCTCGCTCTCTTCTCTGTGCCTCGCTCGCTCTAACTGCATGTATTGTTTGTTTGCCATTCTAGTGGAAGGAACTGGAACCTGAACAGCTTATGGATGCCAAGCTTAGGTGCGTATTCGAAATGCCGCCTACCGACGACAATGCAGAGAATAATAGTGGCAGCGGCGCCGTCGTCGTCACCGGTGCCGGCTCAACCAGTGCCGGCGGCAGCGTGGGCACCAATGCGCCGGCATCTCTCAGCTCTGGGGAGGTGGTCAAGAGCGATACAACTGTGGCGTCCGTTGCTCCACTGGTATGCGTGTGGCATCATATTGACAAAGACTTGGAACTAATTTACATATGTATATATCTGTTTAGTCACAGAAATTGACCGATGCTGAATATGCCGCAGCCCTGGCGGATGAGCTTAGGGACCTACGCGCCCTGAACGGCGAACTGCGAAAAGAGAATCTACATTTGAAGGCAAGTTGATACAATCATAGTGTTTACAGCTATACATAATGGATATTTCCTCTTTCTTTTCTCTAGGATCAAGTCACACGCTATCGTAGCTCTCCGGCCGCCAAGCAGATCAATGAGCCCTATGCTCCGGTTCTGGCTGAGAAACAGATTCCGATCTTTTATATAGCCATTGCAATTGCTGCCGCCTTTTTTGGTCTGTTGCTGGGCAAGTTTTACCTCTAAATGCCATAACAACAACAGCAACAACTACAACAACGAACACAACAACAGCAGCAGCAGCCACACAGAAACAAAAGCAAAAACAAACATTTGTGGCACTCTCTAAAAACTTAACAACAATTGGTTCATATAATTGCTCATTTGAACTTAAAAATAATTTTCTGTTATACTATATACAGACTGCAAAAGCAACAACAACAGCAACTGCAAATCCCACAATATAAATTCAAATGAGCAAGAATATAAATTTATAATTTGTTTCGGCCATTGAAAGCTACCAAAATTATGTAAACATATATACACCCACACACACACATACACGCATACACATTAAGGACACATGGTTAGATAACGTAATTGTTAAAGTAAAACAAAAAATCTAAAACAAAAATAACCGTAAGCAAATATGCAAATGCAAATTGCATCGCAAAAGTAACAAAAGCAATAGTAACAACAAAACAAAACGAAAAAGAAAAACAAATTCAGTCGTAAGCCGTAAGGAGACAGTTCAACTCATTCATCAAAAGCCTGTCTCTCTATCTCTACCTTTCTCTGCCGCTCACTCGGTATACCGCCAGCAGCAAGTCGATCATATGCATGCAGTGTTCAGCATGTCGTCTCGCTCTCTTACTCTAACAGTCTCTTATCGTTATATTCACACTCACACTAGTAATTCAGTTCTGTTGACTGCGGCGTTGCGCGTGCGTTGTTGCTGCTTACACCAATAATTATAGCATGGCCTCTGCATATATACACTCACACACACACATGATCCATATATTTATATGCACACACACACACACACACACACACACACACATACGTACGCACGCCTACTTATAAATGATTTTTTGTGGAAAGGAAAAGGAAAAGGCTTTTGTTCTTATAAATTTTTGTTTTATTTTTATCGTCTTAATTGCACTTGCATTTACTTTTAAATTCACTTTGGAGTTGCTAACGGTTCATTTGCCAAGTAAAAGAAACTAAACACATGCATTAACTATAAACAAACATAATAAAAGAAAAACGATTTAAGTAATAAAACATGCTAATGTATTTGTGCTGTTGCAAAATTCCTATAAGAGAAAAAACTAGGCAGATATCTCTTCTGCCACTAACAGAATCAAAGTTCTGTTTGCCTACATAAACACGAACACAAACACACATAAATATATGCATACGCAAGCACAAGCGCTTGGCTACGAGCTTGTGCGTAAGCTGGAAAAGGAAAGAATATCCAATCAGTTTGTATAAGCATTGACGAAAAGGAATAAAAAATACCACACATAGTCACACAAACACACGTATATACACACATTGTTAATGCAGTTTATGGTTTTTAGCATATTTCTATTCAAAATGTAAATTACTCTTAGTTTATCCCAAAATGAGAACTTTTTTTTTTTTAATATATATGAAAAACATCTATATATATAATGTCTAAAACATGTACTATAAAAAAGAAAAAAAAACAAAAACAAAGCTTCGAATTCGATTTCACTTTTCTGTTTCACATTGCAAAGCATTAAAAAAGGGTATATAGATTTATATATAAAAAAATTATATATGTATGCATATATATGTATATATATACATATAAACTTATGAATGCTGTATTTTCATAGACATGATTTCGTATTAAATGGTTAACCTAGAAATACAGTCAAAAAAAAAAAAGATAAATAAAATAAAATAAACGCATATAAGCAAATCATAAGCAAAATGTACTTGACGTCAGCTGTAGAAGAAACTAACAAATTCACAAAAACAAAAACTAAATAAAAATGAAATGAGAACAAACCCAAATTAGCCGCAAAAGTAAAAAACAAAACTGCTATAGAAATCGAATTGAATGAACAGAAGCAAAACTAAATTTAATATTTACAGTATGAATCTTAAAAACGAAGTGTTTTTTTCTTAAAGGAAAAATAAAAATATAAAAAACATTGTTAATTAAACATCAAATATCATTTAAAAAAAGAATAAATTGAAATAAATTAGCAGCCGCTGTTGCTCATACTCGTAAAATTCAAATCTGAAGACAATGCGCGCCTTTGCGAGGCTTATCGATATTTGCTATTCTAGCCAAATATCGCCATTGCACGCGATTAATTTTATGCGATTTTCAGACGCTGCATTCGCATTCTTTCTAATATCGAAATGCTATCGATAATGTCGATATCTAACGCTTTCCATGCGCACATCTCTGGTTGCCGCGCATAGCTTTGAAGCTTTTTTGGTCCTAACAGTTTGCGTTTGTCTACGCACCGCATTCCATTAGTCCTGTCTGTGATGCTGTAGATGCTGTATCTCAGCACTGTAAACAAATCGCGCACGTGCTATAAATAACTGTTAGTACAATATAGCTCATTCACATATCAATTGAAGCAGTTGCACTGCTATTTAATTTTGCTGTCGATTATTAACGAAACCATTATTAAATTTACGCGCCAATTAACATATCATAACAGAAATGCATTTACACAGCTTAAAGTAAATGCCCAAGTCTCAAATGTACAATGCGTGGTCCAGGTAAGTGCTACTGCTTGAGTCTCCTCCACGAACATAACACAATTAGCTGTGTCTTATTTTTAAACGGACACACGCACACACAGGCACGCGCGCACACATGTACAGAGATACACAGCTACACCCTCCTACGTATACAGTTACACGTGTAGAGTCCTCGCATTCAATGCCAACAACAATTGCAACAAGTAGCCAGCCACACAGCAAATCACACTCACACATACATATGAACACCATATATTAACACGCACAGACATGCGCTGGCTATTTAATTGCGAGCATCCGCATGCACACACACGTGCAATTGGCTTATGTCCCATCTACATATATATGTATCTACGTGTGTGTGTGTGTGTGTGTGTGTGTGCGTGTGAGTGCTACAGTGAAAGGCATTTTGCGCGCAACAATACAATTAAATGAGGACTGGGTGCCCCTTCTCGGTAATGGCAAATATGCAGCGCCAAAAACTGTGCTACATTTTTCCGAAATCATTTTTAAAATATCTCATTATTGCGTTTTATTCTTTTCATTCTTTTAATTATTTTATTTATTTTTTGTTTACTTAGGGTGTTTAAAGGACTTGCAGACCTAAGCTTGAGTTAATATTTATTTTAATCAATGTTTTTCCTTTAAGCCCTGTACTCACTCAAAATTAGAATTCAGAGTATAACAGTTTTATTATAATGTATGCATCAATCATTATTCCAGATCATAGCGATAAGCTAAGCTGATTTAGTCCTGTACGTCTGTTAGTTCGTCCGCCGGCCTCTATGCACTGATACATATGTACATATGTATGTATTTTGTAAACCGGCCACAATGTAAAGTTTAAAGATTTAAGATTTATCATGTGACGAATACAAGGATCCCTTCAACCAGTCTTGATTAGGTTTTGTTATTTGTATTCATGCAATATAACAAAATATATATATATATATATATATATATATATATAAATTATAATTAAATTATTTTGTTAAGTAAGCTGGAAAGAAGTGAATGCATATATTCACTTTTTTCTAGCCGTTTGCTCTAGCAGAGCGTTCACTGTAATTGCGTACGCATATATGTATTTAATTTTCTTTTTCCCGTCTACCCCCTTCTCACTCTCTCTATTTCTATTGTTGCTGCAGCAATCACACACAGCTCTTTGCTAATTAGTTTCACTCAATAAGCTGCATTTGCTTATTGTATTACTGAGAAAGGAACTCTGAAAGGCTTTGCCTCACTTTTCTTAGCATCTTTCTCTCTCTCTCTCTGCCTCTGCTTTTCAGTCTGGCGTTTGGTGTTGCCCAAAAAGGTAACACCACACCTTAACGCACTCGTTCACTGCGTCTCGCCTTTCTCCTCTCCCCATTTCTATCTCACAGGGCTCATCAGCCGAAGGCTCCTCTCCCTTTACCTCGGCTTCTACATGCTCTAAAAGGGAAAATCCCGCCCCTTATCCACCACCTTTACCAAAAAAAACATTGGTTATCTCTCTCACTCTCTCTGTGGTTCGCTCTCTCTAGCGGTGCTATTTTTGAGCCACGCTAAGCTCTCAGCTTCAAAGCAACTCCATCTGAAGTCTAGGCAATCATTATGCGATCCAACATAATCCGCTTTGCATCTGCGGTTCTCTGCCACGCCTTCAATTCGTACGCCCTAATTATGGCAAGGCATCCAATATTTGGAAATACCTTCGCTTTGATATTTTGGAATGAACTTGTGTGCGTGCTAAAGCGTAACCTCAAGCCACCCACCAACCCTAAGCTGCCAAAACACCTTCGGCACAAGACCGCAACACAGACAGAGACAGACACACTCTGACGCACACATAGAGAACATATTTCCATAAGCATATTCAATCTACATTTGAATATAGACTTCATAAGCCGGTGCTTCAGGCGCAACAGACAGAAAATCAATAAATCGAGATTTAATGAGTTTGCAAATATTTGATAGCAGCTTCCCAACTGTCTACCTCCGTCTCTTCAGCCGCCCTCTACCCCCGTTACTCTATGTCTTTTTCTTTGGGCAATATTTGACATGAACTTCCTGTGTGTCACTTTTCGGTCTCCTTTCCTGCTGACCCTTCTCTCTTGCTCTTTCGCCCTTTCTCTCTCTCTGCTCACTCGGTCTCTCTCTCTCTCTCTCTCTCTCTTTCGCTTTAATTGGTGCTTTCAATCAGGCCTATCTTGCGACAGCAACCACTTTGTACGTGTCTTTATTGACAGGACACAAGTCTAATAGGTAGTTGGGAGAATTTTTGTTTCCATTTGCTCCTCTTATCCGAAAGACAAGGCACAGGTGGTCTCTACTCCTTTCTTTTTGACAGCAGCATCTTCTCTTTGTCTCACTCTACTTCTCCAATTATTGTTTTCCTTTTTCTCTTAATTCTTGGTGTCTATCTCGTTCCCGTATCTATAAAACATTCGCTCTAACTCACCCATTCTACTATTTCTACACCACTCTCTGCCTCCCTCGCTATATTCATCTCTCTCTCCTTATTTCTCCTCCCCGTCTTGCCTCTGTCTATCTG